TGTTTGTTTATTTTTGTAATTGTAAAATTTGGCCCAAAGCTATGAGTTTGGGGAAATTGACCATTGCAAGGGCTATCACCATCAGCAACACTAGCTACACCTCCACCCCAGCCCCCACCCCCAGAGCACAGCAAATCAGAGTGACGCCCTGGGTCCCAAGGAGGTGGAGATGGAGCCTGAGTGAGGACCTGACAAGCACAGCTGCAGAGACCCAAGACAACAGAGGAGAGAAGGAAAAGAGGGAAGCAAAAAGCAATAAAATGCAATTAGTGTCAGCATGTAAATCCCACACATAGACCCAAGGCAAGCTGCTCTGCCTCTTCCACAGTCTCCTGGTGTTTTTCCTCCTGCCCTCCAGTCCGCTTAAGCCAGATTTCAACTAGATGAAAATATCAGGCAGCGAGGTCTGTTTCTTCCCTACCTCCTCCCTCTACTGTCATAATTTTTGCCAAGATACGACCCTCTGCAAGAATGAGCCTCCTTTTCAGAGTGCCATTTTTCTCTGTTCTCTCTTGCTATCTCCATCTTTTAAAAAAATAAAAATAAAAACTTTTTACTGTACTATACAAGTATGACATAATTATTCTCATTCCCATCTTAAGAGCAAGAAATATTCTGCTGAGAAGTATATCTTTTTGCTCCCTTTGAACTCCTCCTGGCAAATCTGGCTCCCTTGGGAGTATCTCCCCCAAGCCCTGAGAATGCTCCTGGCTGGCAGTTCCTGGGCAAGGACAGTGCCTGAGCCATGCCTAGAGTTGAGAAGAAGCCACCAGCATGTGGATAGTGTCACAAGCAACAAACAATTGCATAGTACTTCCCACTGATGCTGGTATTGCCTAATTTACTGTAAGGTTGCTACACAAGTCGTTAAGAACTATTTATAATTTTAGAGCTAAAGGGACCAGGTAATCCACTTAACATATGAAAAAGTAGACTCAAAGAAAGGTAAAGTCTCAGTAGCATGTGGCCTGGGTGGGACTAGAACCCAAGTCTCTTCACTTGTGGAAAAGACCATTATGAGAGTTATAATGTAAGGCTCTAGAAATTCCTGAAGCACATAAGTCTCATCGACCACTGAAAGTGTCTTGATAAGGGTACCTGTCTTGAAGAAAGAATGCGTAAGAAGATAGAAGCCCTAGAATAGGACACATTTTGTCTGTGAAGGTTCTATGAGCAGTGGCAAAAACAAAACTGAATTTTTAAAAATATCCTGGACTTCAGTAAGTAGTGGTGAAATCAGTATGAGATGAGAGAAGAATGCTACACATGCATCTAGCTCCAGCCTTTGTTAGTAATGAAATTCTTTCACTGTGCTTGCATGATTGCCTCCGTTCTTCCTACCTTAAATTCATTTTTCTTACCTTTTTGAAGTCAAAATCTCAAGTAGTGGTGAGAAGTGAAAGGATAAGGAAAGAAGGAAACTGATATTAATTTAAAATCTATCATGTACCAGATGCAGTACAAACATTTTTACATTGTTATTTCATTTAATGTTTGTAATAATCCTGAGAACGAGATATAGTAATACTCTCTTTTTACAAGAGAGGAAAGTGAGATGTAGATTTAGCTTTATTTGATGCCAAAGCCAAGCCATTTCTAATGTGCCCCAGCACAATCCTGGAATCAGGGGCATGAAAAATGGTGAGCAAGGAGAAAATAAAATATTTTAAATAAATAAAGCCTTTAAAATACACATTGTTATTAAAGTGTTTCAGTAAAATGAGAATGAAATCTTAAAGATTTAAGTATGGGATTTAGTACAGTAGCATCATTGGNGTAAAATGAGAATGAAATCTTAAAGATTTAAGTATGGGATTTAGTACAGTAGCATCATTGGATCTCATATTATAAAGATTCGAAATTTTTATTTTCAAATTATTTTCCTTCATTAAGCCAGTTCTTTTTTAATGAAAAATATGAGGCCTACAAAAGGCATAAAGAAAAAAAAAAATAAAACAAACACCCGTTTATACATCACCCAAGTAGAGAAATAAAACATTCATTACAATGAACCACACATGTACCTTTCTCAGTTCCATTTTCCTTCCCTTCCTCCCCAGAGTAATAGCTAATCTGTCTTTGATACACATAGCACCTTTATCGTTAACTCGAAAATTATTGAAAGGTTGAAAAAAGTTTAATATCTCATATCCTACATTGAGAAATAACCCTGAACCAAGCTAATTCAACCCTTTAAATAGAAACTGGCCTCTTAGGCACACCTTATTTAATACATACTGACATTTATTGAGTTCCTATTCTATGCAAGGCTTTCAACTGAACAAAGAATCATTCTATGTTTCCATGTGGGAGGTAGTATGTTAGTAAGCAAACTAAGAGTGGAACAGTGCTCTTCCCAGCCGGTGTGCTGAGGCTGAAGAGTTCCTGTAAAGAAAGGGCAGGAGGTTACATTCACAGGGGGAGGGAGGAAAACAGGAAATGCCTCCTGAGAACTGGGCTTCTGCTTTCTTGATTCTGGGAAACAGTGAGAGAATCTGACATCCTGTGGAAGCTCTTTTCAGGAAGATAGGGTTAGCCAGCCCCAACCAGCTCCCATGGAATAATTTTATTTATAAGGTCATTCTTAGAAGCAAATTTGGAAAGATATGGGNCTCCCATGGAATAATTTTATTTATAAGGTCATTCTTAGAAGCAAATTTGGAAAGATATGGGGTTTTTTGTTTTATTTTCAGTTGTATTGCCCTAATTGCCAACTAATATAAAGCTGGATTTATAAATGTGTTTAACTTCAACATCAAAACGTTTAGTCAGCAGAGGAGCATCATTCTACTAGTTCACTAGTGTTCTCCAGTCCCTATCTGCCACTAACCAGTGACATGACCTGGAGCCATCCTTTCAGCTGTCTGGGATCCTTTCCTCTGCTAGAAAACGAGGCAGTTGGTCCAAAAGGCCTGTGATCTCAGTCCACATTTTTAAACTCATAACTTAGATATGTCAGAACACTAATTAGAGCAATTTTCAAGAGTTCAAGGCCTGGGACTCTCATTTCATAAATGCCTACTAAACGTAGATGTTTTTCAAATGTTATCTGATTTGCTTTTTAAAACTCCAGAAGTATTTTACAGTTGAAGAAACTGAGATTTAGTAAATTAGGTTAAGTAAGTTGCCCAAGGACACACATCTAGTATGTGGCCACATTATGGGTCAAAATTGATTCGTCTGCCTTCAAAGTCTGGGTTCTTTCAATTTACCATGCTCAACCCCCACCCCCTCCAGATGCAAAGCAAGGGGAGGAAGCAGCACACACCAAATTTGCTAGTATGGGCCAGAAACCATATATGTCTCATTTAGTACTTGAAACAACTTTGTAAATTATTACTTCTTACTGTATTTAGTTTTATAGATGAGGAAACTGAGGCACAAAAGATGAAATCATTTACCTGGGAATGCATAGATAGCAGGTGGAAAAGCTAATACTTGACCTCAAATCTGTCCTGCTCTCTAATATGTTTTAGAAATAGAAATAAATGAATGTCTTTTTCATTTTATAACTTGCTTTACTCTGTAGCAAATGTATGTGCATATGAGCTCATATGTGTACATTGCAGTTAAGAGGGCATGGTTATAAAATTAGATTAGCAATGGAATGACTGATTATGTCCCTAATGTCATTCAAGATTAAAGTTTAAATTAAT